GGTTTTGAGGAGGAGACAAAATGGATACTTAGAAAGCTCATTGGTGGACCAACAGATCTAGATGTCATTTCGATCACTGGTATGCCGGGTTCAGGCAAAACTACTTTGGCATTCAAAGTATACACGGATAAATCAATTTCTTGTCATTTCGACCTTCGCGCATGGTGCACAGTCGACCAAGAATATGACGAAAAGAATTTGTTGAATAAAATTTTTAATCAAGTTAATGGCTCGGATTCAAAATTGATTAAGAATATTGATGTTGTTGATAAGCTACGGAAACAACTGTATGGAAAGAGGTATCTTATTGTCTTAGATGACGTGTGGGATACTACTACATGGGATGAGTTAACAAGACCTTTTCCAGAAGTTGAGAAAGGAAGTAGAATTATTTTGACAACTCGAGAAAAGGAAGTGGCTTTGCATGGAATGATCTACACTGATCCTCTTAACCTTCGATTGCTAAGATCAGAAGAAAGTTGGGAGTTATTAGAGAAAAGGGCATTTGGAAACGAGAGTTGCCCTGATGAACTATTGGATGTTGGTAAAGAAATAGCCGAAAATTGTAAAGGGCTTCCTTTGGTGGTGGATCTGATTGCTGGAGTCATTGCTGGGAGGGAAAACAAAAAGAGTGTGTGGCTTGAAGTTGTAAATAATTTGCATTCCTTTATTTTGAAGAATGAAGTGGAAGTGATGAAAGTTATAGAAATAAGTTATGACCACTTACCTGATCACCTGAAGCCATGCTTGCTTTACTTTGCAAGTAGGCCGAAGGACAAAGAATTGACAATCTATGAGTTGAAATGTGTATGGGGTGCTGAAGGGTTTGTGGAGAAGACAGAAATGAAGAGTATGGAAGAAGTGGTGAAGATTTATTTGGATGGTTTAATTTCCAGTAGCTTGGTAATTTGTTTCAATGAGATAGGTGATGACCCGACTTACCAAGTTCATGATCTTGTGCATGACTATTGCTTGATAAAAGCAAGAGAGGAAAAGTTGTTTGATTTGATAAGTTCAAGTGCTACATCAGATTTGTTGCCTCGTCAAATTACCATTGATTATGATGATGATGAGGAGCACTTTGGGCTTAATTTTGACCTGTTCGGTTCAAATAAGAAAAGGCATTCTGGTAAACACCTCTATTCTTTGAGGATAAATGGAGACAAGATGGGCGATTGTCTCTCTGATACATTTCACCTAAGACACTTAAGGCTTCTTAGAGTGTTGTACCTGGGTCCCTCTTTTATCATGGTTAAAGATACTTTGCTGAATGAAATATGCATGTTGAATCATTTGAGGTACTTAAGAATTGGGACACAAGTTAAATCTCTGCCTTTGTCTTTCTCAAACCTCTGGAATCTAGAATTCCTGCGGGTGGATAACAAAGAATCAACCTTGATACTATTACCGAGAATTTGGGATCTTGTAAAATTGCGACTGGTGGCCATGAATGCTTGTTCTTTCTTTGATATGGATGCAGATGAATCAATACTGATAGCAGAGGACACAAAGTTAGAGAAGTTGACATTATTAGGGCAACTCCTGCTTTCCTATTCGAAAGATACAGAGGATATTTTCAAAAGGTTTCCCAATCTTCAACATCTTACATTTGAACTCAAGGAGTCATGGGATTATTCAACAGAGCATTATTGGTTCCCGAAATTGGATTTCCTAACTGAACTAGAAGACCTCAAAGTAAGTTTTGCAAGTTCAAACACAAATGACAGTGGGTCCTCTGCAGCCATAAATCGGCCATGGGATTTTCACTTTCCTTCGAGTTTGAAAAGATTGTGGTTGAATGAATTTCCTATGACATCCGATTCACTATCAACAATAGCGAGACTGCCCAACCTTGAAGAGTTGTTCCTTTATGAGACAATCATCCATGGGGAAGAATGGAACATGGGGGAGGAAGACACCTTTGAGAATCTCAAATATTTGAAGTTGTATCAAGTGACTCTTTCCAAGTGGGAGGTTGGAGAGGAATCCTTTCCCTCCCTTGAGAAATTAAAACTGGAGGGATGTCGTAAGCTTGAGGAGATTCCGCCTAGTTTTGGGGATATTTATTCATTGAAAATTATCAAACTTGTAAAGAGCCCTCAACTTGAAGATTCTGCTCTCAAGATTAAGGAATACGCTGAAGATTTGAGGGGAGGGGACGAGCTTCAGATCCTTGGCCAGAAGAATATCCCGTTATTTAAGTAGCATTATATGTGAACAGGTTCTTCTCTATTCTTTTGCTGTTCTGATTCTTGTTAAAAGATGTCTACAATGTGTTTAATGAAAGTCTCAACTGAACAGTACTAAATTTTTCCAACAAAAGTGTCGACATAGAGCTTTCAAAATTCAAATCAACGTATCCATTTGCTAGTTGAAGTATTTCTTTTTCCAATTACTTTGACCAGTTTAATTTTATTTGCAGATCACATGTAAAGAAGATGGTTACAATTCTTTTATTCTGTTGTGGTGAATATGTATTCCAAGAGTTGCTACCCTTCAACTCTCTGCTATGATGGGAAAGAACACAAAAGGTTCGCAACCTCTGTTCTATATGAAAGTTGTCCTATATCTCAGCTTAACTTTTGTATAGTTTTGAGACTCGATACAGTAACTGCATTTGTAATAAAATAGAAAAACTTGTCATGGTTATCATTCATGAGTACTGCTGTCCTTATAGGTGAAAAAAGTTTTAATCTTTGCATCTGAATGTGCAAGATTATCGGTCTTGAGGAGATAGCTAACTATTGTGAGGACTTAATAAGGGTATTTCCTTATGCGCAAGAACTGAATGTATCCTTGACAGAGCTATCTCAGCTGGCTCCACTTGGTTCTATACTTGTGCTGCCAAATGACAAATGCCCCCTTGGTTACTATTGCAAGGAACTGGTTTAACTTGATTCGGTTTCATTTGTGTTTACTCAAGCCTCAAACTCCTGATTACCTAATTTTTTTGCTCAAGCCCCTTGTGTAGTTTTAGCATGCTGGTTGTAGTCAACGGAAGATGGGAGCTAAAGGTTATTGAAGAAGGCTTTTGAAGCTCAGACACCATCAATTTCACCCTTGACCGAGGGATTAGAAGTAACAAATACTATTATGTTTTTGGATGGGTAATATTATGAGCATGTTCAATTTATTCCTCTGATGAAAATGGTGTTAGTTAATTATCTAACCCTTGGATTGCTCGATACTGGTTTTGGGGCCATCATTCCCCACTGCAAGGGATTGCAAGTTTGCAATGACTTTCCCTTGTGTGTATCAAGTCTTTACTTTTGAGAAAATATCAAGTGTATGCCATGACCCTTACAATTACATTATGCAAATGGAATTCAAATCTTTTGGAATTTCTTAGAAATAAACAAGCAGAGTATAAGTGGGTGTTTGAACATTAAAAATGTGAAATCAGAGAAAAAAAAAAAGACGAGGTTGAAAAATGGTATATGGAAATTGGCCAAGTGATGTTTGGACATGAATATAACTTGGCACCCAACAGTGTGACCTAATGGTCCATGAAGTGACTTAGAAATGAGGACCATTTGGTCTTAGGTTCAAATTTCAGCAGATCAAAGTGTGAAATTTGATCCGAACACCACGGTAATAAAAAAAATTGAATATAATTTGAGAAAATGTTGAATTGTTGTGAGTGATTCGGAGTGGAAAATGTGAAAACAAGTATTTGGATTTTTTTGAATTTTGGAATATTCAAGTTAAATTTCAGCTGAGAATTGTAATAATTCTATGTCCAAATATGATTTCGGAATACAATTCTTGAAAAAAATTGAAAATTACACTGTTCTACTGGAAACAACCTCTCTACGTCCCTAGACCCACTTGTGAAATTACACTGATCTTGATACTTGAGAGTCAATAATTGAGGCATATTTTGAGAATAAACAAATTTGTGCCCACAGGCCACAAACAACTTGTTACAATTTATGGTTCTGGAGAATAAAATGGCAGCACCAACACCATTATTATTAATAAAAATCCACAGAAGGCAAGTTTAAAAATCTATTGCTGGGAATTTCATTGTGGGTGCAAAGGAACAGGTTCTTCTTCCTTCTTACACAATTTTTGTAGTGGAAATTGCCAATGTCTACAATGTGTTTGATGAAATTCTCAAATGAACTTATATAAAATGACAACCACTTGTTTTTTTCTTCGTCATTTTCAACAGTACAAAAATTGGCTGGGCTTCTATTAGATTAGTATTTTACAGGTCACATATTGTCAAAGACAAGAGAGATGCAAATAATTGATTAAAAAAAGACTTGAGAAGCCAATGGGTTGTATTTTAATATTTCATTCTTTTTTATGTTGGTGGTGGCCTTTCAATTACTAAAAGCAGAAGAATTAACAATTGATTAATGAATTGTATATTTTGATTCTTCTTTCAACTACACTTCTTTTTTATCCAATAGCTTATTCTCTTCAGCATTATTTCTCAAACAAAGGGTTCTGTAGCTAAACTTCTGCCTGTGTAAAGGTACGATCTCGTTTGCTAAACTTTATTGACAGCATAATAACATGATGGGGGTGGTCAAGAAAACGATCCCTTTACGTTTAGAGTAGGCTTGAAATTTTCTCTTAAAGTTTTTTCTGAGAAGCTTTCATCCATTTAGATTTGTTAAAAAGTGAGAACTTTCGGTATTTAAAGGAGTTGTGAAGTCAATGAATTGTATTTTAGTAATCTTGGAACTCTAGATCTAGCTATTTGATTCGTCTTTTTGTTGTTCGCCTTTCAACCGAACTATTTCTTCAATCTCTTACTTCAACCTGTCTAACAAAATTATGTCAAAAGGTATGAATATGCTTAATCAGAGCTCTCGGGGTCTCTATTGATTCTACTTCAGCTACTCTCACAAAAAATCTTATTAGTTTTATCAAAATAAGTAATTTTTTCCATTAGCCCAAGTCGGGACAGGAGAAAAATATTATTAGACAGATTATTAATGTCACGACCCAAATTAGGTCTGTGACCGGCACTAAGGGAAAGAATCCCAAAGCAAGCCTTAACCAGAAATCTACAGAAAATCGGGCAAAGTTTCCTCTGTTTTTGGGCCTATCCTGAAATTACCTGTATCAGAAATCAATAAGGGCAAAGTTGACTTATTTTCTCATGTTTGGTTGATGATTAGAAA